GGGCCTAGGTTAATGAGTGTGTAGAGTTGATGAAATTGTCTCGCCTTTAGAATGTGAAGGTTGTGCTTGCACTGTTGAGTGTCATTAATCTGGATCTGAAATTACAGGGTGAGTGTGGTTGTGCCAAATGTGTTTTGTTGTAGTGTTGCTTAGTGTTATGTATTGATACAATTTTTAATTGTGAGAAGATCTAATGGGAAGAAACATGTGGAAGCAATTGAAGCCCAAGTTCAAGGTTGATGGAGATGAGCGGAGGTTGACAGTTGAGGCCAAAGCTGTTGAGGAGGAGGTTGTGGTGCCTCTAATGAGGAAATGAAAAAATGTTACTTCATCAAAGATTGTGGTTTGATCGATGCATTCACCAAAGAAATGTCACTTGGTTGAGGCTAGTGGCTTGATTGTAACGATTTTGCACCAAGTGTAATCTCCATTGTCAAAGAGACTAAAGGTGGGGAGCTCAAGTCAAGGGCAGGTTGATGAGAGGATTGTGGCCAAGGTAAAGATTGAGCATATGGGGGCGAGTGGTATTAAGGGAAAGGTGGTTGGCGGTGTGGGATCGCCAACAGTGATGGTGTTGGATGAGGAGGCTAGTTTTGATGTTGTTGACAAGGAAAATGGATCTATGTTACCATAAGGGTGGTTGATTTAGAGGGTTGGTGTTGGTGAGGGGTTGACATGCTCTAGTGGGGCTATGTAAGGACTTTTATAGGAGTTTTTGGGGTTGAGGTTGGTGAGTCATTTATTTTTCATTTGTAGCCACTAACGGAGGCACAAAGTTTGGATCATGTAACAATTGGTGCTACTGTGAACTCTTTATAGAGTGTGGTAAGTCGTGTGGAAACTTTGTTCCAATGGATGGTCTGAGTGATTTTGATCATCGTATGATAAATAATGTAAGACCAGTGGAAGGGTTGAATGTTGTTGAAGTGATGTTGGGGATGATTATTGGGTGTGGTTAATATTTTGGAAGAGCAAGTGGGCAAGTAACATCACATGGGCAGAGAGGTATAAGACACATGCTTGTCATGCCAATGCATTGGTGTTTTTGATGTATGTGGCTCATTAGCAAGCCATGGTTGCCTTTGTTACTATGGTGAAAGGTAGAGAGTAGATAGGTAACCGATGGAAGGATTATAGTGCGAAGAGGGCACGAAAGAGGTCTGGCATTGCAGGTGCATTTGTAGCTTTGAAAGGGCGACTTTAGGAGAAGGAATAAGAGTTGGAGCAAGTTGTTGTTAGGGAGGAGGAGATTCAGTTATTACAGGCCGAGTTGAAGATTCTTCATGGTGAAAGGTCCGCGATGATTGTAGTGCGTGCTCGACTGGAAAGTGAGAGAGAAAGAGAAAGAAAGTTTGTTGAAATAGAAGGTTGTTCATGTTAGTGAGGTCATGAAGCTTGATGCTGGATGAGAGGGTCAATTGCTGGATCATGGCAAGCTTGCTAACGAGATTGGTCTTCTTGTAGTGGAGCGTGGGGTGCTCACAGTGGAGAAGAAGGATTTAGAAAAAATTGGCTATCATAGAGGAAGTGATTTGTGAAGATCATGTAAGAGGCTTTGAGAAGATAGCTCAACAGGTGAGGTTCTTTGCCCTAAACTTTCCTTTGGCAAAACTGAGGATGAGGAGGAGTGTGATGAGGGGAAGGTTGGGGTGACCTTAGAGGTGTTGGTGAAGGAAAAAGAGGTAGTCATTGAGTAGAATGGGGAAGCATTTGTGCCTAAAGAGGGTGTAGTCGTTGTTGTTGGTGAGGGAATTCCTGCTGGCCTAGTTGAAGTTGTAGTTGTTGAGGAGACTTTGGTAGTTGGTGCCTTGGCTGAGAGCTTGTATACTCATAAATTGCATGTGCAACTTTTACGAGCGTGAGAGCACATTTCTTGAAAATTGTGTGTGAACTCTAAAGTTTGTATAAAGGTCACGAGAGCTCATTTTCTTAGAAATCGTGTTCACACTTGCAAGTTCATGTGAAATACATGTTGTGCACATACATATTTATGATTGTCAATTCAAATGAATAGCTTTTATTGATATGGAAGAACTATAAATGCTTTGGGGTGCCTTGTCAAAACCTTTTTAGCCAAAAACACTTTACCAAAGAAAAAAGAACAATATTAGGATAGGAAAAAAATATATAACTTGTTGACATGCATTAATTTGAATAAGAGATTTTGCAATTATGAGATCAAAGATGGATAAGTTGGTCGTGTGTCTTGGAGTGATCTTCAAGTTTTTGGCGTAACATTTTCGTGTTGTGTGCTGGCCGATTCAAATTGTGGCTATTTTTCTATCATTGGTTGAAAATTTCATTGCGAGATAAGGTATTGAAACCATGGCACCTAGGGTGTTTACTAAAGGCTTTCTTGAACACACTCGTGCACAAAGCGACCAGAAGGGTGTAGTTGTTGTACCTCGATAGTCTTGGGGCCAACCACTTTTGAATTTTCTATCATTACGAGGGTGTAGACTGTCCGATTTATGAAAGTCATCCTTGACATTGGTTGAAGATCGACTTTTTCATCGGCTCATCTCCTACTCTTCCATTTGGATGAAATTGATAGTCTGCATTCTTAGATCATTCATGTTCCTTGGTGCATGTTGATAAAGGTCGTTTGAGAAAGGTCTTTCTTTCGGTGCATTCAACATGACAATTAGGGTGACCCGAAGGTGAATGTCCCGTATCTTATTGACGACTATAGACAATCTCTCCATGAAAGCCTAAAACGGTTCAATGTCATTTTGTCTCATGTTGAGTAAAACCAACGTGGAAGTCTCATAGGGTCATCTAATGGTGAAATGAGCTTTAAACAATTGTGTGAAGACGATGTAACTAGGTACGTTAAATGTCGATAAACACGTGTATCATAAAAGCATAGGACCTTCAAGAGTTGTGAGAAAATTTTGACACATAACCGCATCCTTTTGGTTATAAAGATGCATCATAAGTGCTCGTCCAGACAGGATAGACCGTTATACATTTTCATGGTAAGACGTTTGGATCCCTATAAAAGTGAGGCATCGATGATAGCTCAATAAAAAAGTGTGTACAATGTTCATCGACGAGCCCTTTAAGAGAATAACCATGAACATAAATTTTACTATAAAGAATTAAATCCACAAATTAACAACTTGTTGTCATGATCACTTATTTTATTTGGAAACTGAACTTAACAAGATGTGAAATAAGTTTTTCCGGCAACTTAAAAAAAAAAATTCTCTGACAAAATGAGGTATTACCTTCGGTGTCAGTGTAGTTTGTTGAGACTTAGTAGTAGCCGACTTAAAAAACATTAAAAACAAGCACATTTTTTAACATTCCACGTGTTTATTAATGAACATAATTTGGTCCTACTCCTACCCTCGCGGAAGACCAATGACTAAAAACTAAGCCAGCGGGAAACTTCATAACAAGAGTAACGTGTATCAGCAAACATTGTGCACTAATAAAAAACAACAAGACATCAAATTGTAAATTAATTTTCAAACATAATGAAAAGGTTATGAATATATATATTATAAATAGTAGACCACATACATCGACGGTCTAAACTCTAATCAAAGCTCAACCGTTCATTTATTTAATGATTTTTTATGGCTCGATAATGAAAATTTTTCAAAGCAATTATTATTTTAGGTTTAATGGAGCATGGGTTTTGCATAGTTCTAAAATTGTGAATAATTTAGCCACAAGTTGCAAAGCAATTTGCATTTAGTTTCGGTGCACCTTTTTGGCTGGGCCACAAATAGTTTTTGATGAAACCGTGAATGCCAGTAGTTCACGTTCCAAGGTTTTCAATCGCACATGTAACTTTCACAAATCTATGCACTGCATTGTATTATAAAGTGTGAATGTGAAAAATATCTTGAGGGCACTTTGGTCATTGCATAGTAAAGTGAGATTTCCACAAATCAGCTTCTTATTTTTAGATCCTAATTCCCAATTCCTAATTCATTGCATGACCATTTCCCACGACCACTCAGTCACTCACAACTTCATTTCCATTTGCGGGACTCACTGTTTCCACGTTCTTAATGGGTTCAAATAAACCTGGTTCTTACCAAAGAATATTATTTAAGTTTTATTAGGTATTAGTTATTACTTATCTTACCCATCTACCTTAAAGACACAAACAATTACTATTAAGATTTCTTTTATACAAAATGGCTATAACACTAGTACGTAGGAAAATGTTGGTCAATAACAAACAATTAAGCTAAATATTATTATTAATGTATTTTCATCATTATTTTGAATGTACCTCAATATAAGTTTTATACTACTTCTTTAGCTAATGTTCACAGCAAGACCTTATTAAATATTACTTTTTAATAAAAATTATATCATTAATATTTTGACTATTTCTTTTAAAAAAATTAGTATTATTTTAATGTTATGTTAATAAACACTTTAAAAATATTGTTCTAATAATAAGCTAATATAGAAAATTTATTAAACATTAGGTTATTACCAAAAGAGTTTTTTTTTTAATTAAATTTTAGTTTTTTATTATTATGAAAATCCAACACGATATTATCAAGATATATAATACTCATATTTTCTTCCTCAACTTTCTTTTAATACCAAAAGAACAACATTAATTTTAAGATAAAAATTAAATAAAGTATCATATATTGTTGGTAATAATAATAATAATATTTAATGATATTTTATTATGCATATTATTAATGATAGAACAACGTCATGATTCATGAACATCAATAATCAAGTAGTCTAGTTGGCTTAATTTTTGAATATAAAATAATATTATAAGATTTAAAGTAAATAAAAATGCATAGAGTTAAAAGGTAAGATAATATGAGAAACAGAATGGTAATTAGGAAAAAGCGGAGTGATATTCTTACCTAATATTTGTCGTCTTCAACTCTTGCAGGGTTTGATTGCTAGTGAGAGCTATAAAGGTTAGAGATATATGCGTTTGCTTCTTCCTCTTTTTGGAGAATACAATTCCAATTCCATTGCTTGTGTTCTGAGAGAGAGAGAGAGAGATGGACGCCGTTGTTCAAACCAGAGGCCTTCTCTCTCTCCCCACCAACCCCAGAAACAGGGTTTTGCACGCACCACACGCCCTCAAACACCGTTTCCTCTCTCTCAAACCCAAACCCCTCTCTCTCAAACCCCTCGCCGCCAATCCACTGTCTCTCCCACCAAAACCTAACCCCTTCGGCCCAAAGCCCAAATCTTTGTTCCTCTGCCGGGCCGAGGCCGCCGCCGCCGCCGATGGGCCCGCCTTGGACGACGCCGAGAAGCCCAAGCTCCTGGGAATCGAAATCACCACGCTCAAGAAAATCATCCCCTTGGGCATGATGTTCTTCTGCATCCTCTTCAATTACACCATTCTCCGTGACACCAAGGACGTTCTCGTCGTCACGGCGCGTGGGAGCAGCGCGGAGATTATTCCCTTTCTCAAAACCTGGGTGAATCTTCCCATGGCCGTTGGGTTCATGCTTCTCTACACCAAGTTGGCCAATGTTTTGTCAAAGCAAGCTCTTTTCTACTCTGTCATTCTTCCATTCATCGCTTTCTTTGGGGCTTTTGGCTTCGTTTTGTACCCTCTCAGCAACTATATTCACCCTGAGGCCTTTGCCGACAAGCTTCTCAACATCCTCGGACCCAGGTTCCTTGGCCCCCTCGCGATCATGAGGATTTGGAGCTTTTGTTTGTTCTATGTCATGGCTGAGTTGTGGGGGAGTGTCGTCATTTCTGTTCTCTTTTGGGGTTTTGCCAATCAGGTAGTAATTCTGTTTTTTCTTAATTGCTTTTTTTGTCTTTTGTTTTTATTTATTTGATTCCAAGATGATGTGTGATGCTAATCAATAATCATGGTATCGGGGTGTCTTTTTTAATTCTGGTGTCCTCAGCATGTCGTCTTGAATTCTTGATTACTTTTGTTGGATTTTCTGTTATTTTTGTGCTTGAGTATATTCCATGTGCTGCTTGGATCTTAGTGGGTGGAATTTGGATGTGGTTATTTAATCGATTATCATGATTTTCTATTAATTTGTTTAACTTTTTGTTTGTTTTTATTTTCCCTTGTGGTGATCTGTATTCTGGTTTTGATTTGTTTTCTATGTCTTGTGTACTGACTTAGCAGCAGTGTGCATGTATTGATTGTTAAGGGATGAATGAAAACAGGGTTGTGTTTATACTATTTTAAGGGCGAGTCGTTATTAAACTTTTTGCCACGTGCATGTATTGTCTCCTTTAACGAGGTGAGTGTTTAGGACTGTGGATACTGGTTGCTGTTCCATTAATGGTGAATTAATTTTTATGATTAGTATGTTGATGAATAGAACGATGGAATTAAACTCAGTGACGTCTATTTGATTCTTTGCTGAATGGACAGCATTTGTTTGTCGGATGACTTGGTTAGCAAGATGATTTGTGATACCGTGCATCGACTCTTTGCACAATTAGCATGATATCATGTGATGGCAGGGTGAAATGTTTCATCCATTTCTATGTTCTCCAATTTTGAATTGCTTTATTCCATCGACATGGTAAAGTGAATCTTTTGTAGGAATTGTAACGAGTTTAAAGGAGAAAGATGTATACGATTTTGTGTTTCTTCATGGCCAATCTAATAGGCCTGTTTTTTGTGCAGATAACTACCGTTGATGAAGCAAAACGATTCTACCCACTGTTTGGACTTGGGGCCAATGTAGCCCTTGTGTTCTCTGGCCGGACAGTGAAATACTTTTCTAATCTGAGGCAGAATTTAGGTCCTGGAGTTGATGGTTGGGCCATCTCTCTAAAAGCAATGATGAGCATAGTCGTGGGTATGGGGTTGGCAATCTGTTTCCTGTACTGGTGGGTGAATAATTATGTTCCTCTTCCTACACGTAGCAAGAAGAAGAAGGTAATTTCATGAAAGGCAGTAATGCCAACTTTGTTTTTTCACTGCCTATATTTTTTACAGTTGTTTTTTAATTGAAAAAAGTGGGTTTTAATATAATATTTAAATGAGGTATCATTTCTGACTTTCTGTTTGATTAGTTTACTTACTGGTGAACAAGACGTTGTCATTTTGTCATAGCGATGTGGTCTTTGAATTTTGATGTCACACATACACTTTCTGGTTTCTGATTATTCAGTTTTGAAGTATTTGAAGCAAGTTAACTCACATTTTTACCTTGCTACGTAATTTTACAGGAGAAGCCCAAGATGGGAACCATGGAGAGCTTGAAGTTCTTGGTGTCTTCAAAATACATCAGAGATCTTGCCACTTTAGTTGTTGCTTACGGAATCAGCATCAATCTTGTCGAGGTTACTTGGAAGTCTAAGCTCAAAGCTCAGGTAATGTACAAATAAATCTTTTCTATTATTTTTGGTTTTACAACTATGGCTATTTCACATTATACATTTCTTTTTGCTTACAAACTTGTATAAATTGCAGTTTCCAAGCCCCAATGAGTACTCATCTTTTATGGGTGACTTCTCAACTGCAACTGGAATTGCCACGTTCACAATGATGCTTGTCAGCCAATTTATATTTGACAAATATGGATGGGGAGTTGCTGCCACGATCACCCCCACGGTCCTGCTTTTGACAGGAGTCGGTTTCTTTTCTCTTCTATTGTTTGGGGCCCCTCTTGCACCTAGTCTTGCGCAGTTTGGAATGACTCCACTACTAGCAGCTGTATACGTGGGTGCCCTGCAGAACATATTTAGCAAGAGTGCCAAGTACAGCTTATTTGATCCCTGCAAAGAAATGGCCTACATTCCATTGGATGAGGATACCAAGGTTTGGAATTGACTTGAAGCTTTCAATTCAATCTGTTGTAATTGCATTAAACTTTCAAAGACCTGAAACCGTGACTGTTATTACAATTCTTGTTGGCATATCTACTTGTATTGAATTTGCGTTGCATTTGTTGCCGCAGGTTAAAGGGAAGGCAGCCATTGATGTTGTGTGCAACCCATTGGGGAAATCTGGAGGTGCCCTTATTCAGCAATTTATGATCTTAACTTTTGGGTCACTAGCTAATTCAACCCCATACTTGGGAGGAGTGCTTCTGCTGATTGTTACTGCTTGGCTAGCAGCAGCCAAATCCTTGGATACCCAGTTTACTGCATTGCGAAAAGAGGAAGAACTTGAGAAAGAAATGGAAAGAGCAGCTGCTGTTAAGATACCTGTAGTGGCTGAGAATGAGGGTGGAAATGGTTCTCTTGCACCATTAAATCCAGCCTCAGGTGACTCCTCAAGTAGTCCATCTGAAGCCTCATCTCCTCGCAATGTTTAAAAATGTGCTTCTTTCTGTGGGAAATTGCCTCACAGATCGAAACAAGTAGAGCTCTTTTGAGAGCAGTGTTAGGTGAAACTATTTGTTGTAGGTTTATTTATACATAAGCTCTTTTACAGAATAAGCTTGCTAGCTACTTTCTCAAGTCACATAATTTTTTTGTCCCCATAGATCAGATGAATTTCTTTACTTGATATAATGGTTTACTGTTTAGTGAACCGCATTTGTTTTCCTATGAAAGAAAGAAGTCGTTTCAGTGTTCTGTAATCTGTATTTCACTATTTCTAGTATGCCCTTGATTTCTAGTTGTTTGCAGCCCACAAGTGTTCAAATCTTGCCTTGGCTAAGGTACACGTGTTCAGCTCTACTTTTCTAAATATTAGGGGTGTTCATGACCAGGATTGGCTCATCATTCGTTTCGTTTCGACCCAAATTATATTTTGGCGGCTTCAAGTTTAGAAAATAGTCCTGCGGTGAGCTCGGTAAAATTAACTATGTATAAGTAGAAATTTTAAAGCCAAAGTTAGTAGTTGAAAAACAAATTTTATTAACTAATTAAAGTTTTTGAAAAAATTAACTTAAAAGTGTAAATTGATATGAAAGGCTACATTTAGTTATTTGAGATAAAAAGTATTTTGAATAAGTTAATAAAGATAAAGAAAAAAATTAGGTTAAAATATATTTTTATCCTTTATTGCATTATTATTCATTTTGATTTTTTGTATGTTAAAATATTCATTTGAGTCCCTTATAGTTTATATTTAAATTAATTTAGTCATATTAGAATAATGATTATTTTTAATTTTATTATACAATTTTGAAATAATTTTTGATTGATTCTATAATTAATTATATGTTATATGATTAATTGTGGAATTATTGTATTTATTGCTTTTTTAGAGTTATAAAGGGTCAAAAGACCCTTGAGAGTTAAGTTGTTGAGGTAGTTTTAGAGGGTCAAATTGATCGAATTTAGAAAAGAATATAAAGTTTTTTTAAGGCATGAGTTTCATTCTTTCATATCTTTAGAAAATTTAGAGAGGAGTTAAATAGAGAGACTCTAGAATCTGAGAGAGGTTCTTCTTTTTCTAACACCGTATAACCCTTCTAGATCCTTCTTTGAGCTAAGTAGCAAAGGTAGATAGGAAATTCAAGCTTCAGAAGTTGAGAATCTTAAGTTGAGAGTTATATGACGACCTTGAGAACTCTTAATTTTCTTCCATTCTCTTGATTTTTGGAGCCATTTACGGTAAGAAGTTTGTCGATTGAATAATGTTGAATTAGGGTTGTTGTTTGCTACCTGGATTCATCATTATTGTTGAAATTTGATATGAAATCAATGGACTTTGCTTAAATTTGATACGAAATGAATGGACTTTACTTAAGGGTGGTTTTGTAGAAGTTGTTTTGATGCAAATTGACGATCCTTGAATTCTAGTTAATGCATGTTGTGTTTAGTGCTAGGATGATGTTATATATGTCGTAAAAATGTCGAAATGTGTATTGCATGTTGGATTGGTTGAACTTCTTACAATTTTTAGGCCAAATGAAGGTTTTGCTAAGTGTGAAAATCTTCATCATGTTGGGTGCGCCTTCATGGCACTGGACATGACTTTAGTTAGGGGCTCTCTATCCTAATCATACCAGGAATGAGATTGGTAGCGTTGAACATGGGTTAGTGAGGAGCTCTCTAACTTAGTCACATTGAACGTACAAATGAGAGGTGCTGGATGTGATTGCTTCAGGAGCTCTCTAATTTGGTGACGCCGGGCGTAGGTTGAGGCATTGGGCATGGTCAAGTTAATGACTTTCTACCTAGACGACGTTGGGCACACGTTTATTGGCACCAAGCGCGAGTTAGACAAAGACTCTCTACCTGGATGAGGTCGAGCATAGGTTTAACCATGCCAAACGTGCTTGACATAGGAGTTATCTACCTCATCCACATCGAGCGCACGTGGTTTAACATTGGACGTGAGCAAGCCAAAGGCTCTCTACCTCAATGGTGTTGGGAGAATGGTATTAAGCGTAAGTTACTAAATAAGAAACTTGTTATTTAATTAAGTGTTGAAAATGAGTGTAGTATATTAATTACTCACATGATGTATGATGTTGTATGATTATAATTCATTGTGCATTGATCTAGGATGATGTATACTGATGTTTTAAGTTGGCAAATTGTAAGCTGATAGTTGATTGAAGTTGATTAAGTTGCAAGATGTATGTTGTTTACAGATGATTAAGTTGTTTAGACATGTGATGATGCAATACATGTCTTAGTTTAGCTACGTAAAAACTAGATAAAAGTAAAGTTATTTTAGAAATTAACAAATCCCTTTGATCGGATATAAGTTGTGGTGCTCAGAAAGGTCAAAAATTGATAATCCTTTAGTGAGAGTTTAGCTGAAGGTGTTTGTAAGTTGTCTCTTCTAGGTTTTATGCAGAGCCGTTTGAAGCCCAGGTTAAGTCATACGTGTATGAAGTGACCAATTGAGTAAAGTATAAAGTTGATGGTTAAAATCCTATATTGATTACTGTAAAGTTGCATAGTATTTGGAGAGTAATTGACAGACTAATCCCATAGGAGACTTAGTTATGCATGTTAAAGTCGTGATAGACTCACACTTAAGTTGTCCTACCATAATAGTAATACCAGACTTTCTTAGTTTAAGTGACAAAACTTGAGAAATCAATTTTGGTAACCAGGTTGTTCATTATTTCTAAAATAAATATGTTATATAGTTATAATGCTATCAACACAAAATTTGTCACTAAGCAAGAGTGACACAAAGTATTGTCCCAAGCAAGTAATCATTCAAATACTAACAAATAAAATTTTTAAAATTACAGGAATTAAAAAGATTAGTTTTAAATTTAAGGAACTAAAAACAAATATACCTTAAATTTGAAGGGACTAAAAACATATTTAAGCCTAAAATAAATATGTTGTATTGTTACAATGCTATTAATACAAAAATCATTACTGAATAAGAGTGATTACAAAGTATTGTCCCAAACAAGTAATCATCCAAACACTAACAAACAAAAGTTTTGAAAATTACGGAGACTAAAAAGACCAAATTTAAAATTTGAGAACTAAAAAAAATTTAAAACCTAAAATAAATATGTTGTATTGTTACAATGCTAGTAACACAAAATTCTTTACTGAACAAAAGTGACACAAAATATTGTCCCGAGAAAGTAATCATCCAAATACTAATAAATAATTTTTTTTTTTAAAATTATAGGGACTAAAAAAATCAATTTTAAATTTGAGGGAGAAAAAAGATCAGTTTTAGAATTGTAGGACTAAAAATATATTTAAGCCTAAAACAAATATGTTGTATCGTTACAATGATATTAACACAAAATTCGTTATTGAACAAGAGTGATACAGAGTATTGTCCTGAGCAAGTAATCATCCAAGTTTAGGGTTCAGGGTTCACTGATTATTAAGTTCGTGGTCTTGTATAGAGCTTCCTAGAGTTGTTTGTAGCTTGACTTTTGCTTCTCTTTGGATTAGAGGTAATGGAAGTTGGATTCTTGGTTCTTGTTGGATTGTTTGGTTGCTTGTTGGTTTATTCCATATGGATTCTAATAGTTGCAATTATATTGTTGAATAGCATGATTTAGAAAGGCGGCGACCTATGGTTTAGACATCCTTTTAAAAGTCTCATTAATTAAGGAATGCCCGGACACCAGACTAATCCTTAATTAATGGTTTTGAAAATAGGTTCATGGAGTCGCCACCAATATTTTACTCAAAACATTGGTAAAAGAAAAGGTTTTTTAAAGTCCAATAATGACCTTGATAACCAGAATTGGATTCGGGGGTCGGTTACGTGTAGGGAAGGTATTTAGCACCCCTACAACGCCCTCAATCGGTACCCTATGATGAAGTTAATGTGATAAGAAGTAATAAATTAAATATTAGATCCCCTTTATGAATTACTATTTACATGCTTGAAATTTAAATTACACGGTTGACCCTAAAACGTCTACATGATTGCTCTTGTTATAACAAAAAATAAGAAGTAAAAGAAAGAGAAGAAGATTAAATGAAATATTTCGTGGCAAGCTTTGTTAGATCTTCAAATATGAAAAATATAGGTGCTTTGTGGCAACCTTTCACACTACAATGCCTCACAAAATCTCAAGAAATACAAAAGAGAGGGGGAGAGAGAAAAAGAGAGAAATTTCGTGCTCTAAAGAGTGTGGACGAAATTTTGGAGTCCCTCAGAAATGTGCCCAAGCTGTCTATTTACAGGCTTCAGACAGGGTCCAGAACGGCCCGTTCCGAGGGCCGTTCTGGATTTGGCCGTTACGTGTTAATTTAGTATATTGGAACGGGCCGTTCTGAAATCGGAACGGCCCATTCCAGAGGCGCGTTTAACACATAAATGCCATTCTGGAACGGCCCGTTCCAAATTAAGGATTTAAGCCTTTTTTGTTATTTGGGAATGGCCCGTTCCAATTTGGGAACAACCCGTTCCAAATGTATGTTTTAGCCTTTTTTAAAGAGCCTAGAACGGCCCGTTCCAGTTTTGGAACAGCCCGTTTCGGGCTACTAAAACCAACTTTTTCGGGCTTTTAGCCTTCTGATGTCATGTCCTGTTATTTCCATGATTGGGAGCTCATTTTCTTGATAATAGACGTCCATTTCTTCGTTTGTATGCCCCCCGGACGAAATTGGGTGTCTACAATGCCAATAGTTGCAATTATATTGTTGAATAGCATGATTTAGAAATGCGATAGTTGAACTTGGTGTTTTTGGGTTTCAAGGAGAATAATTTGGTGATTTTGAGAATGGTTGTTGCATTTTGGATGTCTTGTTCAAAATGAGTTGTTGTTGTTGTATATAAGTGATATCTTGTATGTAATGTTGGTGGTTTACTAGTTTTCATGTTATTTGAGCCAATTCGAGCATTTGTTGAGTGTAGAACTCACCATCACATTGGGTGCGCCTTCATGGCATTTAATGTGACTCAAATCAAGGGGCCTCTATCTTACGTCGAACACATGATTGGTGGTGCTGAGCATAAGGAGAGAGAATAGCCTCTGACTTGGTCACATTAGATGTGGTTTGAATGGTGTTGGGAGTGATGTGAGAGAATTGTCTTTGTCTAAATTGGCATCAGGTGTCAAAGTAGTGATATCAAGCATGAGGAGGGAAATGGGTTCGAGTGTGGGGTTTTCTATGCTAAGTGTGAGAGCCCACGATTTCTCTACCTCATCCATGCCTGTCGCGAGTTGAATAAGATTGTGGTGGGTGAGGCAGAGTACTACCTATCTCAATAGCGCCAGGTGCAAGGCAT